AGCGAGACGGAGCGGGTCGGTCAGCGTGGACCGTCAACATCAGTCGACTCTCACACAAGGGGAGATATTAAACGCAGACAGGACAGCTACTGGCAGCACGGACTCAGACAAGGTGTTAATTGATTAGGGTGGAATCAGAGCGCTGGGGCCCAGCCAGTTTACCACCCTGATTAGACGGGTGAGAGGCTCATTTATAAGCTCGACAGTCACAAGATAATTACTAAAACACACAGTAATATATGCAACGGCAGCTGGGAGCAGTGCGGCGTGGTGATGGACAGGACTGGGATGTTTGTATGTGTGTGTGTGTGTGTGTGTGTGTGTGTGTGTGTGTGTGTGTGTGTGTGTGTGTGGGTGAAGATCAATGACGTAGCTCGCTTGCAATGATGTTAAGAGGTAGTTGCTAGATAAACGGCATAATAATTACATGTCTCATTCAAACAGAATGCCAATCCATTTAGGAACAGCGATAGGAAATCAAAATCAATTAAATCAGCAAATATTAACTATGTCTATCTACCAAATTAGGCTGCAGCCACACAGCAAACCACACCCATTTGGAAAACGCTTCCCTTAAACTCACCTGCCTCTTCCAATCTGCATCTCCTTTGTGATTGATAATTGTGTACATTTGGGGCCAGATTTACATAAATAAAAGTGCAGGGCAAATTTGTGCTGCCTCTTTCATTCAATTTGTGCTCGCAATCTGTGTGTAATTACTGTCTGATTTACTAAGGCAGCAGCAGCGTCTGGGCCTGACTTCTAGGTTGATTCAGCAAATGAAGGAGAGCTCAGAAGAATGCGGTGGAGGCCTGGGATGAGATCACAGAGCTTAAGAAAGAAATGGAGAGATGCTGCAGAGAAATACTCACTCAGGAAGTAATACGATTTCAAAACACTGGCTGAGGCCACAGTTCGACCCCATCTGTGAAATACAGTCTGTTGCTCAGTAAATTGCAATACAGCCCAAACTTGTAGGCCGATTTATATTATTAATGGAATAGGAGTCAATAACCAGAAAATAAAAATGAGGGGCAAAAACAGAAAATGAAAAAGCAATGGAATGAAAAAAAAAAAAAAAACATTTTTTTTTTTTTAAACAAACAGAGTGAGCCACAGAGGGAGAGAGCAGCAAGTCCAGCGGAAGAGTGGAGCGGGTGATAGGGATGGGATGGCTTTGATTGATGTCTCACTAGAACACACAGGTAAAGGCAGCCAAATGCAACTGATGTCTTATCAAAAGAATTCAATTACCAGCCTGTTTTTTGCAGTTCGTAAACAAGTATAATGAACCGTTGAGCAAAAAACAACAACTCCCTATCCCCTCCGTTTGGTGTTATTACTGCTCACTTTATAATAATAAGTTTCGATTTCTGGTTGACTGATTAATTGAATGTCCCTGGACACTGTATTTTTGTGTTGCACTGTGAGCAGAGTAAAGATTAATTCTTCCCAGCCACAGCCTACCTTTTAAAGCAACACTATGTAACTTTTTGTGTTTCTTAAAATAACAGCTTCTAAATCATTTTGATGCGACGCTGACTTGTAATAGGGTGAATGGTGCCTCTGCACACCTGTACTGTATACACTGTAGGATGATGTGTACTTCATTTCTGTATTGCCAAGTGCACTTCAGATACCAGGCCAACTGGCAGACTAGTGAGCCTGTTTAATATCAACATGCACAAACTAGGTGGTTCATCCATTTTGTGTTAATGAAGAACATTTGCCTCATTCTGATACAGCAACAGGGGCATGTAATAGATTAGAGAGACAACACATGTTATGAACGCCTGCTGCTGGAGCACAAGGCATTGCCTGTTGTGCTTATAAACTGTGAATAAAGTTCGATTTTGGACAGACTGTTACAGACTGAATATTTATATATTTTCTGTTTGCAACAAAACTTGACAGAAAAACTGAAAGTCAAATGTACAGTCTTGCACACAATTTAATGGAAGCAACCGTTAATCTATTCTGGAAAGTGTTTCCGGGTCTCTTCATGGTGCTCTCATCATCACTTTTCCCATCTTGTTTTACAGATTGTCCGACTCCTTCTCGATGAGGCTCTACTGAAGCGTGAAATCATGGATTTTTTCTCGTGATGAATTTCTGTTTCATTTGTAGTTACAGTGGAGTTGAGTGAACATTCACAAATTATAGGAAAACAGAAACATTAAGGGATAAGTACTGTACGTAAGTACAGACATTCACTTTGTTCTTTTTTTGCAAAGGTTCTTAGAAAAATATCAGAGTATTCTTCAACATGCTCAAGGGATGGAAATATAACAGGACAATAAATAATTAATAGAATACAAAAGGAGAGTCTCATGACACCTCAAAGCGTTGGCAAGAAATCTTTTCACTCTTTCTTTTTGGATCCAAGTGAGACTAATTTCAGGGAGAAGAAATTGGATTTTTTTCTCTGACGCTTTTGGCAAGGATTTGCAACAAACTGCAACATGAAGAAGCTACCCTCTAGATGCTGGTGAATACAAGCTGTTGTTTAAAAGCATCCAGTAATTATGTGTAAAGGAACAATATCATTACACAATATCTGGACTATTCTTGTGCTTTCCCACATGAGGGAAGAGAGGGGTAAAGTGAATGTGTTAACTAAGTAAAACATAATCAAACGCCTATGAGACTTCAAAGCCCGGCTCAAAATCTCCACTCTGTCATCTCGTGGTACAAGATAGAAATTGGATGGATATATTGGTCTCTGACATTCCCGTGCAATGTTGTTGCAACTCAGTGGGCTCAGACAGTGGACATTAATATTCACAGGGTTCAATTCATATCTACTTACAAGTCAGACTAACAGATATTCGTGTAGACTGACACAGCTGAACCACAGTGGCCTGACTAACATTGTGACAGTGGCCGGCGCTTTCGAGCAGCAGTAATACATTTATTGGAGTCTAATTGCTTGGCCTGATGATTTAATCTTCCTTAGCAACACGTTTGTGACAATATACAAGACCACAGGAAACAAACAAGGCAATTTTCTGAGCATTTTGTTTTTGGATGAATGGCACAACCAAGCCTTCAAAAAGCCTAACAGGAAGTCTTAATGCATTAGCTAATGGATGATATTAAAGAAGCTTCTTTGTACCATAGCTGGTTAAGCTCCTACAACGCATCAACTAAATGACAAAAATATGAGTATTCAAATCTCTAAAGCAGAGAAAATCTGGAGGGGACTGAATGTCATGGTTGACAGTTACAGGATGAAGCTCTTTAGACTAGACACTAGACTAGCGGTGTGGCTAAAGGGATGGCAACGTCTGTTGGTCTGCCAAGTTGGTCTAGACTGAAATATATTCCAGCAACTGTTAAACAGACATATTCATGGTCAACAGAGAATGAATGCTAATGAGTTTGGTGGTCACCACAATCTAGCATCACAATCAAGTCAAAATTACAACTAGTCTGATATAAAAACCATTTGTATTTACCCTTTAACAAAAAAATTCCAAGCTTAAAGTTTGCATGATTCTAATTAAGCTTTAGTAATTAAGCATTAGTGAAAGTACATATCTAGAAGGGCACTGTAAGTTCCCCTGCTGCCTTAAAAATGTGAGTTAATTGAACTCACGTTGAATAAGTCATCGTGTGTTTTGAGTTATTTTAACTGAGAAAACAAGTTTTTAAGTTGAATCAACAACTGTCCAGTCACAATGACAATCCTTACAAACAGATTTACTTTTCTTTTAGAATGTGTCATTCTGAAGAACTGCTTCTTAATTTGACATGAGGAACTTACAGCTGCAGCAGTCAAAGCCAATTTGTATTAGACAACATGCAAGGCTGCCTCTAGTAATTTTGTTAATTATATGCGTACTGGGGTTGGGACTGGATTCCATAAGCTTCATATTGGTTAGCATTATTTTTATTATTATAAAAACAAACAACCATGACTTTTTTTTTTTTATTGTGTTAAATACACACAGTGTAAAAGTAGGGTTAAAACACTCATGACACAAAGTACTTATCTTCAGCCTCTAGTCTCAGACTTACTGATTAAAGTCAGATGATGAATGAGCAAACAAGTAATTAATAAATGTGTACTTCAGTATATATTTTGCATGCTTGTCCACTACATAAAATATGTGTACTTCTCTGTGCTAATCTTTACCATACCACCTACATATGTAATTGCTTGGCAATACATGCATACACTCTAATCTATAAATGAAACATTTTCCCATTAAAGACATCTCACAAGCTGTTTCCCTCTCCTTGAGGTGCATTAAAAGAGATACGATAAAGCGCACTGGATTGCATAAATACCATCTCCCCAGCCCACCTGAAAGGCTCTACTCAAGTGCATCAAAGTACTTGAAAAGAAATTAAATTGTTACGGGGGGTGGTGCCTGACAGCTTATCAATAGAAGGGGGGAGGGATTTAGGAGAAGCAAAACACTAGCAGACGGCGCTAAGATTCTGCAAATAACAAGAACGGCATTGCTGGAGTCCCCAACAGATGGAGAAGAAAACAAACCTGGCTGCTACATTTCCTGGTTGCTAAGCACCACCTGGAGGTAATGAATGTGTTGTCGGGCTAAGAGGCATATGAGACAACAGTCGAAGTCAAACTGTCTACTCAGACACATTATAGAGTGCAGGTCTGTTGCTTGTCCTTGATATGGGTCATCTTGGCCCGCAGATATGCTCATGAATATTTATACAGGTGGATGGACTTAAACATTGACGGCCACAACAGGATGATAATACAACATTAGAATATGAGCCAATCGTGAAGCCGCTATATGAGTGCGCATCAGATCAAATATTCCTAAGGCTTGGATGTGCGCTAAAGGCATTCAGTGCCACGTTCTCATATTATATCAATCATAAAAGTATGTGTGCAGACTGTATAGTGTACGATAAAGTACTCTGAGTTTGATTTATGTAGAAATCTAAGGGAAAGGTCATGTCCTGCTACTGTAATGTATAGCGGCTTCCAGCCAGAGCTTCACCAAAGTGCAATGACTCACCACACATCCGGTGGAGTCCAGCTTTCGGTCTGATATGCAGCGGAAGTTGCGGCTGCAGCCTCCGTTGTCTTTGGTGCAGTCTCTGACGGGCCCAAACGAGTCCAGGAGAACCTCCAAAGAGTCGAACGATGAACTGATCATCAACTCCTCTCTGTTAAATGTAAATGAGGAAGAAAGAGGATGCTTGTTTAGTGTTTTGTGTATGTGTTTCATGCTGAGGACTGATTTTAGTCTGAAATCAGCATTTATGACGGCAAAATTCCATTTAGGTCAATGAACATAATGTCAGCGGATTTGCTTGCAGAGGCACAAATAATCTGAGCAGATTTTTGATGAGGACTTCAATTTTGGAGAACTTAGACATACAAATTTCTATTGTTGATCAATAGCAAGTTGTCTTGATGCTAAAATTTTTTTTTTTATTTTTTTTTTTCCTTTTTTTTTAAAATTAAAAAACAAAAAAAAAAAAAATTTTTTTTTTAAAAAAAAAAAAAAAAAAATATTTATTTATTTTTTTTTTTTTTTTTTTTTTTTCTCCCTTTTTTTTTTTTTTTTTATTTTTTTTTTTTTTTTTTTTTTGGGGTGGTGTTCTTTTATTTTTTTTTTAATACTTCCTCGTAAAATATTTTTTTTTTTCCTTATTTGGGTAACTTGTACCACTATTTTTTTTATTTTTTTCAAGTTCTGTTTTGACAAATTAGTCCTTTATTGCTAAAAAAAGAAAGAAAAATAAATAAACACAACAAGCATGTTTTTGGGGGAAAAGATGTGGCAAATGTCAAGGGGAGAGACACAGAGGACACACTATATGCTGATTGGTTGTGTACAGTCTTGGGGACTGTGTTTGTTGTGTTGTCTTACAGTATGTTATGCAACTCTGACCAAGTACAAATCCTTTGATGGGACGTTAAACCTGTACAAAGGCAAATTTAGAATTTAAATCTGCAATCGTTTATGGAAGAGTAGTAATTAGCATATATGGCTGCAACGGATTATTGTGATGTAATACCTTGACACCGCTTCAGTCATTAGTAGAGACAGTGGTAGGGCTGCACAATTATTCGAATAGTAATTGCGATCACGATTCTGGCTTCCCACAGTCAAATGAACGTGATCGTCTATGATACTGACGTTTAAAATGCAGGCTTGGCTCATAGAAAACTCTTATCGCATAACGCATATCAAATTAAGGGTGATCGAGATGTTATGGTTTCACTTTCGGGGAGCTGTCACTTCACTACGCACATACTCTGCAGCTGTGGCCTGGATATTTTTATTTCTGGACATTTCTTACTGCTGCAGCTTCACATAAAAAGTATTTAACTGGCCAAACACAAGTTGACTTTTATTTTGAAGTAAGCTAGTCAACAGAAGTGCAAAGTGTTTGTCAGTTAGACTGACACTGCATGTACCCACACACAACGTGCATGCCCAACACTACTTATGGAGACCTGTACCCCAACCTGTCACCTCTTTTTTAGTTTTTATTTCTACTTTCTTTTTTCTTTTTGTTTGTGCATTGTATGTGTCCATGTTCTCATGTCCCTGTTTTTCTGGTGTTTTGTAAATTATTTGGTTTTGTAAATACTGTTATCCATTTGTCTTAAAGAATTAAATAAATGTAACGGTCATTGCCAGCGGATCAGTTTGAAATATGCCAGGGAGTAATGGAACCAGAGGGAGCAGCTGCAGTGAGCTGTTAGATGAAGAGCTGCAGGCGACAGGTTGCACAGCTCAAACCTCTAGGTAACCACAGTTCCTTTCACTGTCGCTGTTCAGACTCGTACCGTGTGCTGCATGAAAACAAATCCCTGCCGCTCACAGAATGACAGAAAAAGGTCAATTATAGCCTGACTACTTTATTAAAATGACAATAGGTTGTTTTGCTGCCTGCAGTATTCTAAGACCTTCAATATTAACCCGGTTCAACCAGTGCTCTCTAATTTTGAAATAATCGTGATGTCAAAATTTATATAAAATAATTATGATTATCATTTTGGCTTTAATTGTGTTGCCCTAGACAGTGGTAGGAGGGATTTAAAGTTCTTTAACTAAAAATAATTGGATTTTTCTTCTTTTTTTTTGGTGTCTGTTTGTGTGTAGTTATATTATCAATAAATCACTGGTTGCCCACCTTCACATAACGTCAGTAAAATTAATAATATATATATATTTTTTTTCTAACAGTAAAGGCCCGCAGGTCGGATTTGAACCCTGGCCGTTGCAGCAAGGGCTCAGCCTTGGTACATGGGGCGCCAGCTCTAACAGGTGAGCTATCTGGGCAACTCCCCCTGCCCCCAAAAGAGTAATTATTAATACTGTTTTATGCTTGGGCCACACTGCCTACCTGTGCAACACCTGTGTGTCACAGAACGTATTGCTTTTCATTTCATTCTGCATCAGCTGTTTTTTCATGCAGTGAAAATGAGCTGTTGCTCATACCAGCAACATTACACCTTTAATTATAGTTTCCTTGTCTGTATAGAGTATCTTACATGAGAAATAAAACTCTCAGAATCCAATTTATTTTTTGTCAAGACAATGCTGCTGCCTGTGTGGACACCATAGGTAGCAGTCGTGAATATTTAAAACAGCTAATGATTCTGAATGAAATTCAGCATTCAATTAGTTATGCCTTGGTGTCAGCAATATGTGATTTGCTTTCATTAGAACTGATTTGAAGATATCTTCACATTTCTGTAGATCATGTTTTAATGTGTCAGGTGGTGGCGGTTGGTGGGGTGAGAAAATGTTAAAGTGGTGCTTTGCGACATTCTGCAACACCCTGCTCTCTATTTACCTTAATGAAGAGATACCCATTTTCATGAATTACAAATACCTGTATGTTTAATTCATTCTGTGTTATCATCATGAGAAAAGCTATGACTTTTCACAACACAATTGCTATGCAAAGTAGTAGACGTGTGAGATAAAACGAACCATAAAATCATTGCTCCAACCTTGCTCTGAGCAGTCACTTTGTGTTTCTGTGATTTGATTTTTTTTTTCTTCCCCGTAAACCTTTGTGCAAGGTCAACAAGCAGATCATCCAGCAGAAGGACAACAGTGTTTGAGATGGGTGGAGATGAAAAAAAAAAAGCAAAGCAGAGAGCACCTCACGGTTTTCTCACAGAATGTAAAACAGAGCAATTTCTGCTGAGGAAGAGTGGTGCTGATGATAAACAACAACTTGTGTAGTAATAGCATTGCCATGAACCTTGCCTAGGTAAAGAAAATGATGACCTCTCTCGCACTTACAAAATATATTTTTTGCCCAATTCCCTGTACTCCCCAGCTTTCCCTGTGAGAAAAGACAGTGAGTTTCCTTCCCTTTCACAGTCAACTTGATGTTATCTTGCAAACCAATTTTTCTATTATAATTGCCCATTGCTTTGTTGTCATTTATTCAGAGGGGACCTATTGAACAGAGCCCCAGAACATGATGAAACTCGCAGCAAGTGTGAATGCTAAATTATTTGGGAGCTGCAATTACAGTTAAGACACATCCAACGATTGTGTGCAAAGCAATTTACCTTTAAATATCACACAAGACCAAAAAAAAAGGAAAAAGGTTTAAAGCCATGTAAGGTGACTCTTTGAAGCTACTACAGTATTCATTACATCCCAAAATATGGAAGTGCTGGAAAGACTAGTGATCATACTGCCCATTTTGCTCTTCTTAGAGTAAATCTGTTTGTAATGATTGTCAGTGTGACCGGAAAGTTGTTGATTCAATGGTTTTACTTTTTCAAAACACACAAGGCGACTTATTCAACTTGAGTTCAAAAATATCTTATCAGCCAATCAAAATTGAAAATTGGTCTGAGGCTGGCGCATGAGAGCATTCTTCCAGGAGTGTGTATTTCTTGCATACGAGTGTGAATGTTTTCCTAATGAATGGTGCCCCTGACGAAATGGTCAATGACTTACCAATAATATTTGAGAGAGTCATCAGCAGAGAGAAGACAGGACCATTTAAATACATTTTCTGTTGGTGTACAGTCATTTAAAGATCCAGAGAATGTTTTTTTCTTAACCTTACAACGAATAATGAGCATACCATTTTCTTTGCCAAAGTTTGGATTGTGTTTTAATCATTTCACTTGAGAGATTTCTGTATTTGTATTTTTCTATGTGACGTCCTATTGTGATGTCGTCCATTAGTTTGTGGAATCGTAGAGTTTGGCATTATAGTCGTCGCAGTAGAGGTGATGTACTGTGAGTGGAGCTGCTCTCATTGGCTGCGCAGTTTCGACTCGTCTGAAGCAGGAAACAATGGCAGCTCGCCTGTTCACACACAATCTCGTATTACAGCTAACAGTACACTAAAATATGTTTCTGAAATGATTTTAGGTGAGAAACAGTCAACGCAGTAACAGAATCTGGATCCATATTTGATCAGCTCTGCCTAGTTTGACAGTTTGATCAGAGTTTGGTACGTCGAGCTGAATGTTTACTGAGAGTGACCTGTCAATCACAAGGTAGCCCCACCCTAAAGCATACGCGGCATTATTGTCTATTTTACTCTAAATGAGACCATCATTTACTAAATGAACACCATGCTGTATGGAAGAAGACTGGAATTAGAGATTAAGACCATAAACTAATTTGGAAACTGTTTACTGAGCTCATAAATCAAGTGAGAAGTCATGTCCATAAGACTGCATGCTATTGTTTTTTATTTCAGGCCACAGAGCTGCCCCCTGCTGGACAGCTTCACTTTACAGACCTGGAAATTATATCAGTCCTGATATAGCATATTAGCTGAGTTTTTGAGCATTAAACTCTTAATAAATAACAGCTAAAGTTTTTTTTTTTACTTTGATGTTGCCTATTTAGTTATAAATATTTATTGTTATAGAGAAATTGCTAAGATTTTAAAGTTCCCAGGGGTTTAATGAGATTCTCATTATAAATTAATAATTGGCTGTGGCATTGCATCCACACATGTACTCATCTAATTAAAACGATGGACAATTCAAATGTTTATCTGAACTGATTCTACAATCAGTATCTGAGTACACAATCACCTAATTAAACCATCAGAATGAGCTACCTCATTTAACCTTTTTTAAAAAGTATGCCCTAAGTGACAAGCTACGTAAACATGAATGCGAAATGATGAATTGCAGCTAATTACATTGCCTTGAA